ACATGCCTGTACTTTGTTTGGCTGGAAACCACAGTTGTGGGTTCAATTCCAGACCTGAAGGGCAGCTAGGGGCCATAGTCTCAGTGGTTACAGCCCTTGGTCACTTTAAATATCCAAATTGGCCACTGCTTATAAACATTCAAAATGGCTGTGCCCTTGGTCACTTTAAATATCCACATTGGCCTCCATTTGTAAACATTCAAAGTGGCTGTGCCCTCCAGACAGCAGGAAGTCCACAGCTCAGATTGTCTCCTTCCTTACTGTTTCCCCTCCTAGTCATAGGCCACCAGTGCAGTCATCCCTACAGCTCTTGGTGACCAGGGTTGATCTTTAGGTCAATTCTCAGGTCCTAACACCACTTGGAACTATTCAGGCTGTTGGTCCCGTCAGAGTAGCTTACGTTCCGCAGCTCCAACCGTCTCTGTACTCACTGTTTTCGTTCAGGGTTTTCCACTAGTTGGTCCCTAATCCACTTCTGCATAGTTCCTTTCAAAGGTCAGGGTTCCAGGATTATCTTCTGTATCTCTGTCAATTGTTTTTTTTTTTTTTTTCTTTTTTTTTCTTTGTTGAAGAGGGTCTGTGTCACTTGTCTGCCTGTTCCTCCATCTTACCAGAAGTCTTTTTTATAGTTTCTTATAGTAGTGTTTTGTATTGAATATTTATGCTGGTCCTCTTTCAATGCAGTCAATTTTATTCCACTTTTATTTTATGCCTTTGGGTTATCTGTGTTCTTCAGCAGTATGGCAATAAGTTATTATAGACCATCTGAGACCATGCATGTGTTTAGTAGACACACTAAATAAAAAGCCAGTTTCCACCATCAGGGTTTGTTCAGCACTGTGTGCTCCTATCATGTGTTGCACAAGCTAGGTTTCCTTACAGCTCTGGCTGCAGAGCCTTCCCACTCAGGCTGGCATTGCAGTAGCCTCCTTCACCTTTCTCTCTTTCCTGCTAGCCCAGCCCAAGGGCCTTTCTCATATTCTCAGGGTCCCATCTTGAGGGTGAGGTGAGAATTCCTTTTAGACCAAGCTCCTAGATCATGTGGCTGCCAGTCAGAGTCAGGCCCCTAACTGGTGCCTCAGACCCAATCCTCAGACAGGTTTTTGATCTGTGGACTCCTTGTGCACATTCAGGTGACACTTCTTCCTCTTCTTCATTATAATACCTAAAATTCATCTTTTGGCTTCTTGATGAGTGCTATCTTCTCTCTTGCCACTTCCCAGGGCACTAGCATTTACAAGTGGATCTCAGGATCCACCCCCAGACACAACACACACACACACACCCCTGAGATGAGCTGTGACAAGTTAACTAGTACATAAATGTGTCGTGGCATCATTTTCCTCTATATTCTATACCTGTCTTTTCCCTTATGATCCAGTAATGTCATTATAAAAATTCAGCCATAAAAAGGAATAAAGTACTGATACATGGTTCAACATGGATGAACCTTGGAAACATGCTAAGTGAAAGAAGCCAGTCACAAAAGACCACATACTGTATAACTCCATTCACATGAAAGTCTAGAACAGGGAGATCTATAGAGACAAAAAGTTGAGCAGTCGTTGATTAGGGCTGGAGAGAAAGGAGGGTGAAAGGGGAGTGATAGCTAAAGGGCATGGGTTTCTTTCTGAGATGATGATGTTCTAAAATTGTGGTGAATATATTAAAAACATTGAATTATACACTTTAAGTGGGTGAATTGCATGGCATCTGAATTATATCCAAAAAAATTTGTTCAAAAATAGAGGTTATTGCACTGTCTGGTCAAGAAACTTAAGGCTAAAATTTTAAACTTAACATATTCTCTGCTCTACATAAACCCTGTTATTATTGTTAGGTGCCCTTGAGTTAGTCCCAGCTCATGCTGACCCCACACACAATAGAACAAAATGCTGCCTGTCCTGCACCACCCCCAAGATCAGTTGCAGGTGGCTTCTGTTGCAATACATGGGATTTTCGTTGGCTGCTTTTTGTCGGTAGACTAGGCTTTTATTCCTAGTCTGTCTTAGTCTGGCAGCTCCACTGAAACCTGTTCAGTATCAGCACCATGGGAGCCTCCACTGACAGGTGAGTGGGAGCCAGGAATTGAACCTGTGTCTACCGCATGGGAGGTGGAAATTCTACCACTGAACCACTGATGCCTCACATATAAACCTATTACAGCTTTTTTGGTGGTCTCTTTGTGCCTTCCTTGAGCCGGATCAGTGTGTGAAGCAGAGGGACCTTCCAGTTACTGGTGTGAAAGGGCTTCCTGTGTGGAAAGGCCTCACCTTACGTTCATCTGTGTGCGTCCTCCTCTAAAGGCTGTGCTTCTGCATCTATTTAAGCAAGATATTTCAATATGTATTGGGACCATAATTTCAACGTAAAAGGTGGTTTGTTTCATTTTGGTTTTGTTTATGAATAAAAACACTTACAGTTTCTTCCAATTCTGAAAGAGTTTCAAAGCTGTGAAAAAGGTGTTAAGTTTTGGAATATTAACGGAGTTTTAGAAATCCAGTGTACCGAAACTTTCTGTGAAATAATGAGTTGGCTTTATTATTAAACCACAGAATTCTAATTTTTTTTTTTTTAAACTGTTACTTTTACAGAAAAAGACACAATGGATGTATGGTGCAATGGTAAAAACATGGAGACCGCAGTAAGTTGACCTGTTGATATTCTTAGGCCATGTGTATAAGTTACCGTTGAAATGTTGCTGTGTTTCCAGATTATGAAGATTTTATAATTAAGGTCCTCTTGGTTAAAAACAATATGTCTCTGACTCTGGATTCTGAAGATCTTTCCCAGACAGTGCCTGGGACAGTGTGAGTTTAGAAATGAATTAAGTTCTAAGCTGGCACCAACCTCATACTTACGATTCCTCTCCTGGACAAGGCTCTGTCCTAAAAAAGAGCTCCCAGGTTTTATCTGTGTTAAGTGGTGCTTATACCACTGCTTCTTGGATTCCTGGGCAGAGAAATCACCTAGGGACTGTGTTAAAATGCAAATAACTCTAACATTTCCTCAGGTGATGCCAATGTGGCTGATCTGTGGGCCACACTTTGAGTAGGAAGGCTATACACAATATACCCAGAGCAGATAGTACTTTTCTGAAAGTGGGATTTTTTTTGAAAAAATGAAATATAATACACACAATATCAGATAACATAAAGGCAGACAGGAAAGGGCATTGCCGTAACCCCAGAAGACATGTAGAATTTGTGGACTGCAGTGCAGAGGTAGGGAGAAACAGGCACCCACTCATTGTGACCTAGCACAGTGAAATCCCATCTAAATACTGGTGTGTTTGGCTTTTGCTATCAGGTGTTGGTATTGCTATGGCTGTAGGTGGGATGAATGTAGGAGTGAACTTCAAGAAAGAATGAAACAATAGTGGTAGAAATAAGCAGAGTCTTGTGCATAGCACAGGACAGAAAGTGGAAAAACCAGAAAACCAGAAAGGTGAGAACCAGAGAGACTGGGTAGAGAAGGTAGAATCACTGGATTCTCAGTGGTAGGGGTTCTGCTGCCTGAGGCTGACTCTACCCTACTATGGTGGTTGTTTGTGTGTCATCTTGGCTGGGCCTGGTTGAGTGGCTGGGCAGCTGGATGTAGTATTCCCCATGATGAGACTGGTAATCACCTCCATGGAGGAATCTACTGTGAGCAGCTGAGTAGCTGCCTTTGGGTATGTGGTCTGCTTCCTGTATATGAGAAGCAGCTTTGGGAATGGTCTCTAGCCTATGGCACGCTTGGAGCCTGCATGTAGCCTTGTCGTTGTTCAGCAGCCTGCCATGCTCTGCTGACTTGGGGACTTAAAATGGACTTGAATGGCCTGCCATGTGGTTTGGTAATATGAGGACTGTGCCTTTTTGCTTGTCAACCTCAGCAGCTAACAGCTGTTTGAGTGAAGAAAAGCCTCTAGCTTCAGCGAGCCGGGAGCTGGAGGCAGAGCTAAAGCCCAAGGCTGAGAGGCTTTTACCCAGCCCCTAGAGGCTGGCACTTTGAACTTGGATTTAAAGTCTCCAAATTGGAAGAGAATAAACTCCTGTTTGTTAAGGCCATCCCATTTGTGGTGTATTCTTGTCAGAGCTGCACAGAGGTAACCAGAACACCTACCTTTTCAGATGACTCAGGCCTGAGCACCAAGACTAGAGATGAAAAGCTCTCTTCTCTAGTCATATTTTAGCCAGTTGCATGACATAGTTGCTGCCCTCATTTATCTGTTATGGACATGGGAAGGCGAGGTGAAGGGCCCTGAGGGAAGGAAGACTGGGATGAATTTACCCAGCAGACTGTTTATCCCCTATTTGCTCTTGTAGCTAATTGCTTCTGGGGGGGGGGGGCCAAAGCTAAAAATTTAGAAGGGAAATTTACTGGGCTCACTCAAAATTAATGCTTAGTGCTGGAGCTGCTCTCTGGGTTAAAACTACTGATTGAGACTTCTTTTCCACAGAGGCTTGCAGAGCTGTTTAGTATTTTATGGCTCTGCTAAAACGGGGAGGAGGCCACATGTTCTGACCTCCTCCAACCCTACAAGGGGAAGGCAGGATTACCAGCAGTAAACCAAGGCCTATTACTGCAAGGCCAGACATGCTGCCTCCCTCCAGCCCTTGTCCAACCGTTCTTCTCAAAGCACCCACCACTTCCCTCCTGGGTTCGA